GTATTTATTTATTTACTGTCTGAGATGGAGTCCCACGCTGTCGCCCAGGCTGGAGTGTAGTGGCTCCATCTCGGCTCACTGCAGCCTCCGCCTCCCAGGTTCAAGTGATTCCCCTGCCTCAGCCTCTCAAGTAGCTGGGACTACAGGCGCCCGCCACCATGTCAGGAGAATTTTTGTATTTTTAGTAGAGATGGGGTTTTGCCATGTTAGCCAGGCCGGTCTCAAACTCCTGACCTCAATGACCTGCCCGTCTTGGCCCCCCAAAGTGCTGGATGACAGGCATGAGCCACCACGCCCGGCCCACTTCAACTATTTAAAGTGTGCAGTTTGCTAGGTTTGGACACGTATACCCCTGGGAGCCCCCACAAACATCTCCGACACTCCCAAATGTTCCTTCGGCCCCTTGGTGATTCTTTCCCTCCCCACACTCAGGCAACCACGAATCTGCTGTTCCGGCATAGTAAGTCGCGCTGGCTAGAATCATCCACTGGGCCCTCCTTTGTACAGGACAGAAGAGTAGGACACGCCTGTCCTCGGTGACAGCGTTTCTTAGACGCTCACCCACACTGTGGTGTATGCTCATTGTTACTTTTTATAAAAAGTGTTCCGTTGTTGGATACACTGCAATTTCTGTATCCATTCCTCTGTTGAAGGACATTTGGATTATTTCTAGTTTGGGGCTCTCACAGGTCAAACTGCCATGAACATTTGTGTACAATTGTTCGCAGTGTGAAAGGAAAGTGAATCTTGGGATCCCCCAAATCACTGAGCCAAACGGAAGAGTCAAGCTGGCAACTGCTTAGGGCCAACCAGCCTTCTGTTCTAGTCTTTAAAAAGACAGCTAAGATTTTAAAAAATAAAAAACTGCCTAACTCCCTCAGGATGTGTTCACAGGGAAATTCCCTGCAGACACAGGAGGGACAGAATTCCAAGCCATTCCTCTGCTCTGCTCACTGAGATCAATGAACATCCCACGGCTTTCTTTGGAAAGGCTAATCAGACACAAAAGAATGCGACCCTTTGTTTTACCACCTGTGACCTGGAAGCCGTCTCCCCTCTTCAAATTGTCTCGCCTCTTGGGACTGAACCAATATACATCCTACACATATTACTCGCATATTATTGAAGTCTGGTGTCTTCCTGAAATGTAGAAAACCCGGCCGTACCCCAGCCACCCCGGGCACGTGTCGTCAGGACCTCCTGAGGCTGTGTCATGGGCACGTCCTTAACCTTGGCAAAATCAACTTTCTTTTTTCTTTTTTTTGTGACAGATTCTCCCTCTGTCGCCCAGGTTGAAGTGCAGTGGTGCGATCTCGGCTCATTGCAAGCTCCACCTCCCAGGTTCACGCCATTCTCCTGCCTCAGCCTCCCGAATAGCTGGGACTAGACGCCCGCCACCGCGCCCAGCTAATTTATTCTGTATTTTTAGTAGAGACGGAGTTTCACTGTGTTAGCCAGGATGGTCTCGATCTCCTGACCTCGTGATCCACCCACTTTGGCCTCCCAAAGTGCTGGAATTACAGGCGTGAGCCACCGCGCCTGGCCGGCAAAACCAACTTTCCGAATGGAGTCAGACCTGTCTCAGATACGTGGGGGTGGCAGTGTAGACACAGCTTTCCTTTCTCTTGAGTACATACTCAGAATTGGAGTGGCTGGGTCATGTGATAGGTATATATTTAACTTTGAGAAACTGCCAAACCATCTTCCAGTGTGGTTGTAGAATTATTTATTCCCACTAGAGGTTCCAGGCTCCGTGTCCTCGCCCACTCTCAGTGCGGAAAGCTTTGTAATTCAGTCATTCCAGAAGGCGCTCATTCTGGTTTTAATTTGCATTTCCCTAACAGTGAATAACACCGGGCATCTTCTCACGTGTGCATTTGTTATCCATATATCTTCTTTGGTAAAAAGATTGATCAGATATTTTGTCCGTTTTATTTTATTTGAGACAAAGTCTCACTCTGTTGCCCAGGCTGGAGTAAAGTGATGAGATCTTGGCTCATTGCAACTTCCACCCCCCGGGTTCAAGCGATTCTCCCACCTCAGCCTCCCGAGTAGCTGGGATTACAGGTGCCTGACACCACACCTGGCTAAATTTTGTATTTTTAGTAGGGACGGGGTTTCACCATATTGACCAGGTTGGTCTCAAACTCCTGACCTCAAGTGATCTGCCTGCCTTGGCCTCCCAAAGTGCTGGGATTACAGGTGTGAGCCACTGTGGCTAGCCTATTTTGTCCA